GCTTGTAATGTCTCCTTCCCTCCTAATAAAAATATAAAAAAAAGGTTAGTGTCTTATCGATCCTTCACCCCTCCTCCTGATGAAAAAGTCAGATGAATGTGACATGAGCGTTCACACTGCAGTCACTTTGAAAACATCAGATATATATCTGATTTAAAACCACATAATAAAACGGCCTGGGTCGGATTTGAAAAAATCGGGTTTTTGTCTCGTTCAGACTGTCATAAAAAAATCAGATATGAGTCAGATGGGTCAAAAAAATCGGATTTGGGTCGGATTTGCCTGCAGTGTGAACGTAGCCATGGTTAATATGGAACTTAAGAAATCACATGAGAAACAAAGAGGTGGAGAGGAAGTTCTGCAACAATACTGTGAATTTCACACTTCAAACACAGGAACATCTGGGTCAGTTCCTCAAAACAAACCATTTAACTGTGTGGACCATTCTAAATGGCTTATAAAATGAGTGTTTTAGTTATTTAAGATCAGATTTTTACTTGTTTGAAGTTCAGTGTCGAGACATTTTAATACGTTTTCATCATTTTTAAAGAAAGAGAAACAAAAATCAGTTTAAATCAGACTTACACAAGTGGACGCAGTAATGGTGTGGGCACCTGAGATAAAAGACTTGCCGTTGTTTAGGCTGATAAGAACGTCCATCGTTCTGAAAAATAAGAAAAACAGAGAAGTGGCAGAATGAATTAAAATATTACAAAAATACAATTTGGACCATTTGCACAATTTTAAATAGTTCAATGGAATTTTAACAACTAGTTGAATAAAACAACTAAATCCACACTAAAAACTCAACGTAATTACAAATATCTCCAGATACTGATGAGGCGATAAGAAGATCCTGAATAAATGAGAGTTACGGTGATTACATCAGCTCAAAGACAGAAAAATGAAAACAACAGGAAAAAAACAAAAGGCCAAACAGGAAAGGAGGGAAATGTTCTCATTATCCGGGCCGTCAGCGTGCGTGGATGAACCAACTTGACTCGCAGTAACAGGGCTCATGAACTCCTGTGACTTATTTAGAGGCAGAAATGGAGAGGCCAAAACGGGTGCAATTAAAACCCTAATGATGAACGGCACCGCAATTTCCATATGTCTATTATGCCCAATCCAATTACGGCAGGTTTAATGAGAACTCGGGACGTGGAGCGGGCGAAACGCTTGAAATCCTGCCTCCGACATAAAAAAGGGAAGAAGAGAAAGAAGCGGTATTGTGTGCGAGGGGCCAGCTGTGAGAGCGCACGGCGGTGTGCAGGGGAGGCCTGCATTAAAAACCCTGCTGCAGAATAATAACAAGAGCGCTTCCTTTGCTGTGGATTGTGCCTGAGGCAGTGCCTTGGGCCACCAATCCTCCTGTGGTTCAGAACAGATGAGCAACTAGACCATGTGTCCATTACTATGCAGCCGACTCTCAACATCCTGAACCGACTTCTTTGCACCTTACCTTGTTTGCCACCATAAATATTTAAGACGCGGTTCAAAAGAACTTTGGGAGCGGATGCACTTTGACAAATCACTCAACTTGTTGATGTTTTGCTTTACTTTTCTCTCATGTAACGGAACAAATTGAATATTTCATCAGTTTTTTCAGGAAATGTTGGTTCTTTTTAACATCTGCAGCACTAATAGCAGAGACGGTGTGTAATGGTATAAATCAAACATTCACACTTTAGTTGTCCAGATTCAAGCCAACTTCTCCAAACTTTGAGTCATTTTAAACTTTATTTTAAAAGGTTCAGCTCATTCTGATGTTATAAACCTTTTAAAATATTGAACTTGTAAATATCTATAGTACAGAAATACATTATGATCTCAATTCCTTAAAAAGTTGTTCTTTAATTTGATCCAACATACTTGCTCCAGGTTTGTCTTCTTCTGCTACTTTAAGCAGACTTTTTTCTATTGTTAGCTTTTAGCTAGCCGTTTATTACTCTGGAGTAATGTTCTGCTACTTTTATATTTTAGCTAACCTTTCAACCATTTTAGACAGACGTTTTCTTAATTTACCTTTAGCTAGTATTTTGTTACATTTAGCTTTTAGCTTGCCATTTGTTACCTTCAGCTATTCTGTTACTTTATGATTTTAAACAGCTTTGTTAATTTATTTTTAGCTACTTTTTTGCTACATTTACCTTCTAAGTAGCGTTTGTTACCTTTAGCTATTGTTCTGCTACTTGGAGATTTTAACCAGACTTTTTATCTCTTTTTAGCCATTATTTTGCTACATTTAGCTTCTAGCTAACTGTTAACTTTAGCTACTTTTCAACTTCTTTTAGATTTTAGCTAGCCTTTCAATCATTAGCTGCCATTTATCTTTAACTATTGTTCAGCTACTTTTAAATTTTAGCCAGTATTTGAGTTAATTTATTTTTAGATACAATTTTGCTACATTTAGCTTTTAGCTAGCCTTTTGCTACTTTAAGCTATTATTTTGCTACTTCTGACTTTTATAGTGTTTTATGCTTTTGTAGCGTAAACAACTCAGCCACAACTTTTTCAGCAAATTTTAGGAAAATGATTCTGTGCTCAACATTTATATGTTTTTACAGAAAATAACACTTTCCGAGTAATTTATTACTTTTACATAAAAAGAACAACTTCAATCCCTTAATTTCAAGTGTTTAATTTAGATGCTAAATGTTTAAAACTAAATACTGTAGACATTAGTTTATGTGACAGTAGTGATTTGAACCTGAATCTGTTTCTCTGGTAAACTGGTGATTTTAAAACATGTGAAAGTTGTGTATTAAAACATCTTTGTGATTTTAAAAGGTGAAAGTTGTGTATCAAAACATCTTTATGTTATTTTAAAATGTGAAAGTTGTGTATTAAAACATCTTATTATTTTAAAATGTGAAACTTGTGTATCAAAACATCTTTTTGTTATTTTAAAATGTGAAAGTTGTGTATCAAAACATCATTTTGTTTTTTAAAATGTGAAAGTTGTGTATCAAAACATCTTTTTGTTATTTTAAAATGTGAAAGTTGTGTATCAAAACATCTTGTTATTTTAAAATGTGAAAGT